TTCGATAATGATAATTACATCACAAATATGATACATATTAAAAAAATTTTTATAATAAGTTATTAATAAAAAATATTAACTTGATTTCGTTTTGTTGATCAATTTTATTTAGGACCAATCATTTCTTCAGGTTTCACCCATTCATATTGTTCTGGACTTATACCATTTTTCTCTGCTGATTCTTTTAATGTGGTATTTTCTGCATCAGCTTGCTTTGCAATTTTAGCAGACTGTATTAAAACATAATTTTTATATATTAATCACAATAAAAGCATAATAAATTAATTCTAATCTAATAAATAAATTGAAAAATTATAATACCTTATCATAACCAATATGTGGAGTTAAAACAGTGACAAGCATTAAACTCTCATTTAAGAGTTATTTAATATGTTCGTCATTAGCTTTAAGACCAACAAATTCTTTGTAAATGACAATACGTTTTTTAATACGTTCTTCATTTGCTTTAAGACCAATAATTCTTTGTGCATGATGCAGAGGCATCACCTGATAATCTTGCACATCTTAAAGCATTTGAAATCATTACAGGTATAAATACATTCAATTTAAAATGACGATGTTGCTTCCAGTAACAGTGATAGCAGTATCATTACCCATTACTTAACAACAAACGATAGACAATGCTTCACACTGCATCAGATTAACTTTACCAGTCATTATAGAACTTGCTGACTCATTTTCAGAAAGAGATTTCTCCTAAACCACAGCGAAGCCCACTTCGCAAAAATCAAATATCACTAGCTATCTATATAAAAACTTTATATAATGTAAAATAAATTATTTAAAATATAAGTTTTTTTTAAAATTAAATATTATCTTAATGTATTTTCATAAGTGAAACTGCTACTGTATTAAATGCTTCATGTGTTTCCAGTATGGTATCTCTAAATATTAAAGCTTCAAACTTATTAGCAACAGGTAGAAATGGTAAACCAGTAATATCTGCAATCTTTGCAATTGCTTTCTCTGTAAAAGCTTTTGGTGTGTAATCCTGTTCCTACTGCAATACCACCAAGTGCTAATTAATATAATCTTGGAAGAGTATCTTTCACTCTTTGAATACCATTAGAAATTTGTTGTGCATAACCTATTTTTAAATTTTTATTATTAAAATTGATAATTTTATAACAAATATAAAAAATAGAAATATTATCATATTAACCTGAAAACTCTTGTCCTAATGTTAGAGGGACCTGTACCGATTGATGAAAATGCACCTGATGTGCTATTAGGATTTTGTATTTGGAGCACGCGCACACTATTCCAAAAGCGAGATGATATAATCGAATTACAGCTGACACTGGCCGAACAAAACAATTACAGATCAGGTTGTTCGCTTATTCCGTATATCTTGTGTTTGTCCGATCGTTTAAAATTATTGATCTGTTATCGAGTATACTTCATTATTATTTAACAATTGCGTGATCGCATAGACAAAAATTTGATAACGTTATCGCGCAATTAAATAAGAAATTGAAATTTTTTT